CGCGCAGTGCTCGTCAGGCACCAGCCAGGCTCCCGCCCCGCACGCCCGGAGCTTGACGATCCGAGAGTCCGACTGTGAAGAGCGCGACCGCAGGCGGCTGGACGGGCCCGGAGAGGTAGGCCACACCTCCGCGAGGACCGGAGACCTTTGGGCACCGAGTTCACTTGCACACCTGCGATGGGAAGCTCTGCACTGTGCGAGTGAGAGCGACCGCGCCTTCGCTGGGCGGCGCTGGCCGTTGCTTCTCGAGATTGCAAGCGACAGCCTTCCTCGGCGCGCTCCGTGTGCCGTGTGTCACGTCGCGGAGTCACCCTCGCGGGTGCGTCACTCTCTCCATTTTGCAGATGGGTAAACTAGCAGAGATTGGTTAGATGAGCTAGGATTTGAATTTAGGACTGCCTGGCTTTTCCCACTGCTCCCTAGGGCAGAAGCTGCGGTCCTCCGCGGAGGACGTTGCAACCTGCGTTTAAAGCTTTACGGGAAGGTGCCGAACTCCCGACCGCAGGGGAGCCTCTTGAAACTCATTAGCCTGCCCCTTGGAGGTCGGGCAGGGCAGTGTACCCAGTCCTTACCCATTCCTGAGGCCTTCCAGACTCTCTTCTAGTGCACTGTAATCCACCATATTAACAGACTGAAGAAGACAGTGAAGTGACCCGGTGCTGGAAAATCACTTGACAAAATTCAATGGCCTTGCGTGATAAAAAGGGCTCAGTAAACTAGGAACAGAAGGAGGGAGCATCATTAGTCTGAATGGGGCCTTCTGTTAAAAAGAAGCACCAGAAATAAATAAGTAAATAAAATAAAAAGAAGCACCTTTAAGTGAAGTAACTAGGGTGCTGGGGATTTAGCTCAGTGGTTCCAGCGGCTGCTTTACAAGCGCAAGGACCGGAGTTTGATCCCCAGTACAAAAAAAAAAAAAAAGAAAAGAAAAGACATAACTAGGACACACGTGTATAAATACCGAAGTTTCTCTAGTGTGATAAACTGAAAGTGTAAATAAGGACTAAAAGGTATAATAGATAATGTCAAATAGGAAGAAAAGGGTAAACGGGAAGGGGACATGGGAGGGGTAGGGAAAAGGAAAGGGAATGGAATAAATATGAGAAAAGGAAAAAATGGAAACAAAGTCTTTGTAGATAGGAAGGGGTGGAGAGGTTAAAGTGAGAGCAGGGGAATGGGAAAAAAATAAGACCCAAGAGGGATTATGTAAATGTGCGAATTTCCAATGATGAATTTCATTATATTGTGTACCCTAAATATACCAACAAAAATTTTGTTTTGTTTTGTTTTTTGGTTTTTGAGACAGGGTCTCACTATGTAGTTGAGACTGACCTGGAACTCACTGTGTAGCCCAGGCTGGTTTTGAACTCACAGCGATCCTCCTGCCTCAGCCTCCTGAGTGCTGGGATTACAGGTGTGTGCCACCACACCCGGCTCTAAAATAAATTTTAAAAAAAGAAAAACCTAAAACAAATATCATACTTATAGGTGAAAAACTGAGTTTTTCCTTCCGAGATGAACAAGGAAAAAACATCCATTCTCCTCATTCCTAGTGAGTACTGTAGAAGCAGGCTGGCAATAAGGCAAGAAAAGCAAACAAAAGACGTGTATTACAGAGGAAGACGTCAAATAGTCCCTTTCACAGACAAAATAATTTATACACCAGACAGTTCCAAATAATCTACAGAGATGCTTCTGAAATAAATGCGTGTAGAAGGCTGCAGGACTTAGGTCAGCACATGAAAATCAATCAGAATATACTGGCAGTAAATGATTGGAAATGAAAACATTTTACATAGCGTTTATAATAGTTTAAAAAACAGAAGCAAGCACAAATCTAAATGTTTGCAGGACCTGTACCCTGAAAAATACAAAACACTGATGAAGAAAATCAGAGACGACCTAGCAGTAAGTGGAAGGGGTCATGGGCTTGAAAATTGAGTGCAGTTAGGATAAAATTCTCTTGTAACTATTCTCCTCATATGTTCTGTATGAGATTTAACACCATTCTAAATGAAATTTGGTCAACATTTTTTTTGTAAATGCAGATAAACTGGTTCTGAAACAAATTTGAAAAACGTCAATGTTGGAGGACTCACACTACCTGATTTGTAAATTTTACTAAACAGCAAAAAAAAAAAAAAAAAAAAAATTTAC